AAAATTTCCTTGAAACAAATGAAATTTTTTTTTTTTTTAAACAAATGAAATTAAAGCATACCAAACCTCTGGATGCAGCTAAGACAGTGCTCAAAGGGACGTTCATAGCAATGGACACACAAAAGGAAAAAGAAGAAAAATCAATGATCTAACTCAACACTTTCATCAAATAGAAAAAAAAAATCTAATCCTCTAAAAGAAAGGAAATTATAAGGACGAAAGCTGAAAAAATGAGATAGAAAATAGGAAAACAGGGAACACCAGGCCAGCTGGAATGCCACACCATCTGCAAAGAGACCCAGGAAGAGCAACAGTCTGCCAGCCACCTCGGAACTCCAGAGGAGTGAACACCATGTGACCCCAGAGGAGCAACAACTACCCACCACTGTGTGACACCCCAGCAGCCCATGCTTGCATGACCCCCAGCACACAGGGTGCAGCTGCATAAACCCCCAGCAGTGCCCAAGCCCCGCCCCCTGCCTCTTGGTGGTAGTGTCTAAACCCTGTGTTCCTTTGCCCCCCAATCCCTTGCTTCCCCCTCTTCCCCCACTCCCCTTGCAGCTCTACAACCACACACCTCAGCCCCTGCCACAGCCCTGTGACCTCAGGGTACCACCATGGATCCAGCCATCACCTGGAGCTATTAGCCGAGCTGCTGTGGAACTAATCTGGCAGGAGAAAGGCCGGTAGGATCCTGACTGGGTTTACTGGGGCATTGCTGATTACCTGAGAGAGCACCTAAGGGTGTGCCCACTGGTGGGGAATTTGGCTAAGGTCTCTTGGGCTGCACCAACTGCCCAAAACGAGCCAGCCACTGGCTGGCTTCTGTGGACTCTGTAGACCAGCCAGAGGCTAGTGGGTCGGTGGGAAGTTGACACTGACTTTTCAGATCCTGTAGGATCCAGGACTCTGCTGGAGCAGGGGCTGTTGTGTGAGGGCACCTGCGTAAGTGGCACCAGGCAGGGAACACTGAGAAAACCATTGGGTAGGACACGGACAGCAGGAATTTGAGTAGGGACCCCAATCATGAGCACACTGAGACAGCAGAGGTTTGAGCAAGGTCCCCCAAGTGTCTGACCTGCCCTTGCGATCACCCTTCCTGCCTCACTCCATATGGCTCCACACCAGTGCCTACACATCTGGGCAATCAACTTGCCTTTAATCAGGAGCACCTTGACCTGTCTTACCAACAAGAGATTGCCCTCACAGGCTCCGAACTGACATTTTTCTGAAGTCAGAAATTCAGAGACATGCACAATTTCAGTAGCTGCCCAACTGATCTCAAGAGCATTGTCTTCAGAGCAAGAATATATAAATGTCTCAAAGAAAGCAAACTATCCCACACAACTGGAATCCCAGAAAAGGAAGAAGCAAGTAAAGGCACTGAAAAAGTTATGGAAGAATTACTAGAGGAAAACTTCCCAGGCATAATGAAGAATGAGAGAATATGTATTCAGGAAGCTCAGCAAACACCATATAGATTAGACCCCAAAAGAAAACCATTAAGGCATATCATAGTTAAATTTTCCAGAACCAAAGATAAGGAGAGAATCCTGATAGCAGCAAGGGAGAAACAAAGAGTAACCTATAAGGGAGAACAGATAAGATTAAGTGCCGATTTCTCAGCAGAAACCATGAAGGCAAGAAGAAAGTGGAAGGATATATATCAAACACTCAAAGAACATAGCGGTCAACCAAGAATACTGTACCCAGCAAAATTATCCATCAAATATGAAGGAGAGATCAAGATATTCCCAGAAAAGCAAAACCTAAGAGAGTTTGTAAAAACAAGACCAGCATTGCAGGAGAGACTCAGAGATGTCCTTCTTACAGACATACCACAGAAAGCTGCATAGTCCAAGTAACTAGCAACAACACCAAAAAGATCTCAACACAATGAAAGCAATAAAACCTAGCCTCTCAATAGTCACACTGACCATGAATGGTTTAAATGCCCAGCTGAAGAGAAAGAGAGTAGCAGATTGCATAAAAAAACAAAATCCATCAATGTGTTGTCTACAAGACACACACCTGAAAAATGAAGATAAAGACAGGCTAAAAATAAAAGGGTGGGGGGAAAATATACCAAGCAAATGGCAACCACAGGAGTAGCCATATTAATCTATGATAAAATAAATATCAAGGTAAAAACCATCACAAAGGACAAGGAAGGTCACTACATAATGCTGAAAAGGTCAATAGAACAAGAGAACATAACAATAATAAATATCTATGCACCAAATGAAAGATCAGCAAACCACATAAAACAAACATTAACAAAACTGAAAAAGGAAATAGACAACACTACTATAGTGCTGGGAGACTTCATACACCCGTCTCAAGAAAAGATAGAACTATCAGAAAAAAACCTCAACAGAGATACTGAAGAAATAAACCACTCAATAAGCCAACTTGACCTCATAGATATTTGTAAACTAAAGCACCCCAGAAAAGCACAGTATACCTTCTTCTCCAATGAGCATGGAACATTCTCTAGACTAGATCACATTCTAGGTCACAAGGCAAGCATCAATAAATTAAAAAACATAGAAATGACAAAAACCATCTTGTCAGACCATAATGCGACAAAATTAGAAATTAATAATAGGACGATAAAGGAGAAAAAACCATACATTTGGAAACTGAACAACACCTTGCTTGAATATGACTGGGTAGTAGAAGAAATAAAAAATGAAATTAAAAAGTTTCTTGAAACTAATGACAATGAAAACACTACTTGCCAAAAT